CAAGGGCGCGGATGGTGATGCGTAGCAGGTTGCCACTGAGTGATTGGAAGTATGAGATGATTGTACGGCCTTTTTGCCAGTGCTTCTTCTCCTTGAGGTGGACAACCCCGTAGGGGATGTTGAAGTCTTTGCGAAAGCCCCACTTGTAGCGAGTGCGCAGGATGGGGGGGACCGTAGCGGCCAGGTGGTCGTGGATGTTGGCGGCAGTGATGGAGGGAAGTGGTTCGAAAAGTTCAGGGGATTGCCAGGTGTTCAAGGCGCCGGTGAAATATTGGCGAGGGCAAAACAACCGGAGCTGTTGGAGCTCATGATCGGCATGGTGGAGCAATGTGTGTTTGCCCAAATGTTCTTGGAGCTGGCGAAGCAGGCGAGCTGTAAATCGGGGTTGTTGTTTGAGGTGTATGTTGTGGAGGCGCCATTGGTGCTCAAGGAAAGGTTGTAGGTGTTGAACTAGGGATGGTGGGAGCCCCTGTAGTTTGAGCCATTTGGTATAGGCCGTCTTGAAAATGAGGAAATAGCGAGCCTTGCTGGGGTAATAGGTACTGTTCATGTTCGCGTTGAGAAAAATGCTGAGGTGCGTAGGGAGTTGGAGTTGATCAAGTGTGAGGATGTAATGGCCATCGACGGTAGGGGTCTCTGGATCCCGCAGGAGGGTGCGAAGGTGATCGCATGCACAGGGGAGGTCTGCGGGATCTGGCGGGGAGTGGAGGGTGTCCTCCCATGTGCGGTGGTTGTGTAGGTGGGAGCGCAGGGTTTTGTGGGCGGCCTCCCTCAGTCTGTGCGAGGGGAGGTGGAGGGGTATGGTGAATTGCTTGTGTTGCTGGATGGTAGTGCGAAGCCATTGTTGGCAGTGCTTGGGAAAGTCGTCATGGGCCAAGAAGGGCACTGTCAGTGGGATGTTTGGCTTTGGTGGTGTGAGGTTGCGGTAGATCAAGGCTTTGTTGAGAATGTGGAGAGCTCGGCTGCGGCCAGGTTCTTCCAAATTCGCGGCCATGCGCCGTATTGCGTACACCTCGAGGTCTGTGTGGCGGCCGCTTCTTAGCTGCTTTGCTGCCTCAAAAGAGGCTGCGGTGTGTTTGGTGAGGTTGCGAAGGATTTGGAGGGCGTGATGCTTCGTGGAAGTGTAAAGGTGTGGTTCTCTGAGGGTGTGCTGGCGTTGGCGAAGGCGTCGGAAAAGTCGTTTGTGAGTGGCTAGTCTGGAGTAGAAGTGGGCTCTGTGCTTCGAAAACTGCCAGCCCTGAGCTTTGAGTTTGAGGTGGTGGGAAATGAAAGGCCAGTTGAGTGAAGGCATCCAGTTGGCGATGTAGTGGTGCTCTTGAATCCAGGCTTGGTCGTAAGTATCATGGGAGGTGAGTTGGATAGTGGTGTAGTGGTGGATATTGTTGTGGGAATGCCAATAACGTAAAGAGAGTTCTGCAGAAATGGGAATGTTGTTTTGAAGTTGTTTGAGTTTGGCACGGCGATTGTGTTCACGGTGGGGGATGCCAATAGCTGTGGAGCCAACGTAGAAGTGGCCGTGTTGGTGGTAGCAGCGTTGGGGTTGGTCGGGATTGAAGTGGAGCTTGATGTAGACGGAATTGGAGGAGAGGAAGTTGTGGTAGTGGTAGGTGTGTGGTAAAATGTGGAGCTGGCGGAGGCGGTTGCGCCATTGTTGTGAGCGACGGGTGTTGGAGGGGTATGCAAAAAGTAGTGTGATATGGATGAGGCCGGTTGCAAAAATAGCTTCGGCGCGGTCAATGTATTGGGTGCGGTGGATGAGGATGGAAAGTGTGCGGTGCAGGTGGAAGAGTTGGGTGAGGTTGGTGTGGCTGGGTTGCTGCTGGGCCACGATGGCGAGTCAGCAACCAATGGCTGCTCCTACTCCCACCAGCTGTTGTAGGCTGCGGATGGGGAGTCGATTGACTCGGTTGAGGGGTAGGCCATATTTGGTGGCTGCCTCTTTTAGCTGCTGCGTGGTGACCTTGCTGGTTTGCAGCAGTCGGATAACGTCTGTCGCAGCTTCTTGGATGGTGGGGTCGAAAGTAGTGACCCAATGTTGGATCTCTGTGTAGTTCCAGCCTTCGGGGATGTCGTCTTGCAGAGTGGGGTGTGGCGGTTGCAAGACGTCGGTGATGGCTGGTGGTTTCGGTGGTGGTGGCGTGGGGGCGTGGGAAGGGGCGGCTGGTGCGGAAGATCGGCTGGTGTTCTTGACTGGTGTGAGTGGGTTGCCCAGGGCCTGGAGTTTCTGACGTGCACGAGCCAGTTCGTCGTTGGTGGTCTTGAGGGCGCGTAGGGCGGAGCCTTCCGCAGGTGCTGGGGAGTGGGTTTGCAGTTGGTCGATAAGCAGTTTGATGAGGGGAGCGTGAAAAGCTCGTGCGTGGGTAGTTTTGTTTGGAACGTCTGTGCTCTGCTGTGTGTGAAGAGCCTCCGCGATGCCGTCGAGGTCAAGGCGGTGCTCGCGGAGTTGTTGGAGAAAAAGGGTCACGAAGACCGACTCCGCTATGCTTCTGGTGGCAATGAAACCTGTAAATTTGCCGTTGCTCAGTGTACGGGCGGTGAACTCGGAGGTACCGTGGTAGGCCAATTGCCACGGGAAGACCTCAAATGTGGGGAGGCCGGCCACTCCTGCTTTGCGAGACCACTGGGTGGGTTGGATTATGCGATGTAGTTGGTGGCCGTGCAGGGTGTTGGAGTCCCAATGTTGCTCGGTGGGGTTCCAGGAGTCAGGAACAGGTGGTGTGGGTGATGGGATGTGGGGGGGCGGCGGTGGGGCGTGCGCCGTGGTGCCACGTGTTGTAGGTGGTGGCGGGGGGCTGTGCTTGAAGGTCGATGGTGGTGGAGTGACAGGCTCGGCCGTGGGCAGGGGTGGCGGCGGCGGAGGCGGAAAATCTGGCTGGGAGTTGGGTGCCTGGGATGGGGGTGTTTGTTGCGATGGCGGTGTGTACGGTGGAGTCACATAAGGGTTGGAGT